GATATTTTCTTCAGTAGTCAAAAGTGGCTACCAGATTTCACCCTGCTGTAACCCTGTCCTACTGATAGACTGTGTTACTCTGGATAATTCACCAAACTTCCTGGGCATCCATCCACTCCCAGGTGAGCACTAGCTGCCACACACATCTACCACTTCTGCACTGACTGACATTATAAACACTTCAGCACGTGCTGCCACACAGTATTATCCAGATGGTCTCTCTACAATTCCTATGCAAGTGCAGGTAAGGGATGAAAAGCTGTAAAAGTGGATCTAAGTCAGGATTTCTTAACATTTAATACGTGATGCAATTTTACGCAGTTATTCAAGCTTTTACCCTAGCTTTCACCAAACGACTGGCCCAAAAGCAAGCTTTGGAGAAATGAAATATTCTTTATGAGCAAGAGAGCTGAGTTTAATGTGGCCTGAAAAGGTAGAGATGGGGTCTGTTGGGTTTTAGAGGGGAATTTTTATTTAAAGAGATGGGATGATTTACTTGGGAAATTATGTAATTCTACTTCCACATACTCTTAAAGAAATCAGATCAAATAGGCCAAACAATTCTGTTAAATACCCAACTTAATTATGTATATTACGTATTTCTATTACTAAAAACTTCTGATTTTGCAGCGCTAACTTAGTAACCGCAGTATAACATCACAATATGTAACTGTATATGCATGTGCATTTATCCTGAGAGGAACAGCACTGTAATCACAAAATCTGCGATATTAAATGCAGTGGAACTGTTTGACTCCCAGAAGAACTATACCAATTCACAATGGTATTATTTACAGCAGAATTTGATTAAGTTAATTTTGTAATTTAAACTAGCACAGTAAGCCAATGCAAATTCTAACTCCTGCGCACGGGGGATAAATTCACACCTGAATGGTAATTTGGATTGTGTGTTGGATAATTGCAATTGTGTATTGTAAACTCCTTTGAACTCCTCTAGTGTAATGCTATAAGCCACTGGTTCTCCAACTGCATTAAGGGGAAAATGGTAGTTCACGAGTCTGGCAAGTAGCCCATAAGTTGCAGAAAGGAGGACTTAGGTGGCTAGCCAAAAAAAAGGAGATTTTGAAGACTTAGAGCTCTTTGCCAGTACTCCCTGGTGTACTGTGTTCCCCAGATGGAGCACTGTGGCTCTACTCTTGCACTACTCACTCCCTTACACACCATGGTTTCATCCAGTCTCTGGGGCCTGCAGCTAATTCTGATCAGAAAATTGTTTTACCTGAGCTGCAACTTATGAGCTTTTATGTGAGAACAATAAATTAAAGAAGTGGCCTCAGGCACAGACTATTTTTCCTGGATTTGAAACAAGTTTATAGGAACATAAAGCAAGAAGGGGAAAACCTGCTGTTTGCTTACTTACAACACCATTGGGAAGCTCCATTTCAGGGATTTCTATTTGAAATGGATCTTTCATATTCTTCAGGATTATCTCTTTGCTTTTCAGCGGTAAGGGACTAGGGAGTAAGAGCTCTTCAATAACTTACTCAGCTCTATTTTTTAAAGACCTGTTAAATTAGGACAGACAGATCTGACGTGATTACTTTCCTGCTCACTTCTCCCTGAACTCTTGTTTAAGAGGGGCAAGGTCTAATAGGGGCGTATGTCTGAAATTTTTAGTTGCCAAGATCTTTTCCTAGGTGTTAGCTTAATTGTAAGTGAAGCTAAAAAGAAAATCAAAACTGTAAAAGATACATTAATACTGACCCACCATCTGAGTTGGCCAAGATCTGTCAAGGAGATTAACATGCCCAAAATTTAAGGAAGATGGCTGAATGCACTTCACTGATAAATAGGATGGTTTAGGGAAAACCTTGAGTAACTCACTCAGTCATATGCCATACATAAAAATACACAGGATATGCACCCTGAAGTGTGCTTATAATCAATAGAGTTTTAATTCAGAATACTTCAATTTTCAAACAGTTTCTTTTTAAGAGCAATATTGTGTTAGACTCTTTCAGGTCTTTACTTGGAAAATAGTGGAAGTGACCCCTACAAAATCAATCATCATTCTGTTTCAGTGGGTAGCAGATATTTGTTATATTTTTTGAATTAATGCAAAAGATTTATGGGAGTTATTAAAATTGCAAAGTTAACCCAGTTATTCAAATCAAATGTGATCAAATTATTCAGCCTAAAATAGGAACTTTTTAAAATTTCATATTTGGAGTCTGTGAGGAGATTATAAAGGCACTGCACATTTCAACCACATGTAAGTTTTAATAAAGTAGATATTGTAAAACAACCAAATATTATATTCAATGCTAGTTTCCTTAGGAGTATTAAAGCCATAAACAGGCTGTGCATGATATGGTAATAGAGGAAGCACTTCTGGGAAATAAGGCCTTTAACAAGCTTGGAGTACCCTGTGACCGTGGCGAGCGAAAGATGAGCTCATCAATTTCATTATTAATTCATTTCTAAGAACACAACTACGCTCATGTAAGACCTGACAAAACAGCATGAGCATTAATTTTGCAAACCAAAGTCTGTCTGTACCATGCAACACAGCAGGCAAAATTCAGCTACAACAGAGTAACTCTATCTGCTCCATACAAATCAATCACTACCCGTCGGTGTACAATGCTTTCAACAGTAATGCAGTATTAAAGGTGGATTAAAATATTCTGGAGTGGAAAAAAAATAATTAAACAGTGAATCTGAAGTAAGAAACTCTAAAAACAGCTGTTAAAACAAAAGGTGGTAAAGGTAGTTGAAGAAAGGGTATACATTCCCCACATAGTGAATAAAGAGATGCTATGTTCCCCTCTGTATTAGAACTCCTTCACTTTTCCGTGTGGAAGATCTACCCTCTGTCAGCATAGAAAATCCAGTTAAATTTTGTGGTGACTGCAGGAGCGTGAGATACCTCGCAGAGTATTTGCCCTATTTCCTCAGGTTACATCGTTAGCAATTTGCTGGGAAGACAGAGATTGGTGAAATTAGTATTTTAAGTGCATTTTTCATCTGTGAACCTTGCTGACTCATTTCAAATTTCACACAGGATATCTGGGAGAAGGAATTCCAGGAAGCGTGTAAAGGCTGCAGGGGATGCCCAGGGATTTTACAGAGGCAGCGTAGTTATCCATCATTTGGGTTGGGGAGTGAATTACAGTTACTCTACAGGAACAGCATTTCTGAAGGATAAATACTGTTGAAAAATACTTCAAGAGGAAGTTCACCCTTTGTCTGCTCTCATGGGAAGCAGACTCAAAAAGTCAGGAAAAAGGCTCTCGTAAATTCCAAACGAACATGGCAGTATGATATGAAAATACACCCTGGCACCTTTCCAACAGTTACTCTCCATAAGGGCTGTAAAACTGTCACAAAGACAGTTTTGTTGGCTCCCCAGTGTCGAAAAATCAATGAATATTGTAAAAGCAGTTTATTGAATGTATGTCAAGACTTCCTGGTTTTCCTTGAGTCAGAATATTTTATGGTATAATAGAAAGATATGATCAATGCCACTTCAACAAATCATAGTAGCTAAAATCAGGGGAGAAACCATGCAGAGTTAAAAATAGGAGAAGATCCGTCAGTTTTGGACCATATAAATTTCAGTCACATTACAAAACTGAACAATGCAATATTACTAAGATTGGAAAAAATATTTTTCAGCAAATTTATGGCCTAAAAATGACAACTAGACACAGCAAGATACTCCTGAGAACTGAGTCGCATCGTTACCATCAGTGATGAACTGCCCCGAACTGTTTCAATACAGCCATCAATACAGTATTTCTTGAAGGGACATGTGAGCCACAGAATACAAATGTTTAATTTAAAAATAATTTTTAGGCATTAGTATTCCAAAGGAAAAAAAAAAAAACCAGCTGTCCCATGAGGTAGTTGTGTCTTTCTAAGTCTGCAAACAGAAAGAACTAAGTAAATCTCAAAAGTTTCAGCAGTCTATGCCAGGAAAGATTTAAGACTTTAAGAATGGGAACATTGCCCCGTGTGTCCTTGCTTTTACCTCAGCTGGAAATAAACAAATTACTGAAGTAACCAGAGGAGGTAGAACATTAGACTCTGCCTTTAAGGATCACAGGTACCTCCCCACCTTTATCTAACCTCTGCCTTCATCACTGAATCACAGAGTAGAAGCGCAGGGTCATTTAGGTGAGAAGAGATCTCAGGTCTGTTCTCACACCCCACCCACAGCACAGCCAACTTCAACGTGGGATCAGGTTGTTCAGGGCCTTGTCCAGTCAAGTTTTGAATGCCCACCCAGCACATCCAAGGACGTTTAAAAACACACACAGAGATACCAACAGCTGAACTTTGCCAGCCTCTGGTCCTTGTTGGGACAGTGATGCAATGAATAAAATTTGTTATTACTGGGTTGTTGTTGAGGGTTGAGGGGAGAGGCTGTGGGGTTTTTGTTGTATTTTTTGTGTTTTTTTTTTTTTAAATTCTGGCATGAAAAATAAATGCATCTCATAAGTTCAATCCAATTCCTGTTAAAAAAAACCAAAAAAACTTCATGCTGTTTTTCTCTGGCTTGAGGTCATGTCACATTACTGTGAGTCAACAGCAGAGTTAACTTAAAACTATCCTATCTCATTGTGTGGGTTTACTCTTCAGTATGAGTTTTGGTCTATGCACATTGGTCCTATATACCAGAAACCTTTATCCCACATTAATATTTCTACCCTTGATCAACAAAAAATTAGAAGTACGATCAACTTTATGCCTATTAACAAAAAAAATTTCTAATTAGTGTAGGTGAGACCAACACAACTAACTTTCCTAACACACCTTTGCAGAATTGTCCCATGTAACCCGACGGAAAATTTCAGCAGACATAAAATGAGCCACACAGTGTAATGCTGTCCATACTAAAATCAATGGGGACTAAGTGGACTGTGCTGAGGACACTAGCAATCAGCATTACATCACACTCCAGGAGTATATTTGTATTGGTGATGAAATATTATTTTCAATTATTGGACTACCACGATAAAGAATACGTAACTTACCTATTCATCTCTTCAAGGCAGTCTGTTGCAAAGTAGAAGCTCTTTATTTTGGGGTGGCATGCTTTGAAGGCACTATAAAATAATCACAAAAAAAAAAAGGAGATACCTTTTCTTTTCAACAGTTTCTCAATACATGAGACTGACCTGCTCTACAATTCTTCAGCATGTTTCAGGTTTCATAGGCATTTTGAATCTTCAGGCTGAATCTCTTGCCAGATAACCTTGTAGATGGATTCCTACTGATCTGATTACGTCTACATTCGTGAGTCTAACTGCTACTTCATAAAAATTTCAAAAGCCCTTGAATGACAGAAACATAAATCCTTTCAATAACCACTGATGTTATACATCTTAAAACCTGAGTAAATTTGAAAATCTTATTGAGTATATTTAGGTACATACCAGTTGTATTCCAAAGATTGACTATTCTAAAGGAATAAGAGTTTGATCCCACTGCCTCTTCTCATGTCTGTAGTTTGTGTCCTACTTGAAGAAATATAGAGGACTGCCAATTTATGCATTATAACCATCTTATATCTGTATTGTAACTGATTCTAAAGATACACGTGAATTTATCCAAAATTTTATTTTCCATTAAGAAATGCAGAAGGAATAAAGATTAATAACCAGCCAGTAATTGAATTCAGCTGGAGATGACATTAAAAATATACCACTCTCAAATTCTCCTTACTTAGTCATGAGACTTTAAGATCTCTAGAATAAGCTTAAATAAATGAATGAATGTTTCCTAAATTTCATAGAACATTCTGAAATCCTTAATTATAATATTAATTCAATTTGAGCTTAGTAGAAGCATATGGAATGATCTAGGGACTATAAATGGCAGGTTTGCTTTGTTTGGAAGTAGGTAATAATGAAGTTCCTCAAATAATCTTAACTCTAATATCAGGAATCTCCCTTCTAATTCCAGGAGTTGCTTAGTCAAGTTACCCTAAAACCAGCCATATCCCAGGTACTTTTCTTCTTAATCTACTGATGTTTGCTGTATTTTTTCTGCAATCAACCTGAGTTAATCAACAGTTAATGCTTCTTCATCTGCCACCTAGCAAATAACAGAGTTGCCAGTATTTAGACTTTATATTTATCATTATGTTACAGTTCCTGGTCATTTCCATGTATCTCACTATTTTTTTTATTGCACGGTCTGTTCTCACAGATAGCTTTTGATTCAACAAGTCATAGTTGGGGGTTTTTTTCCCCCCCCTTTGGTGATTTAAAATTTATGCAAAGGTTAATTTATAGAGTGAAGTTCTTTGAAAAGTGCAAGTAAAATTAGAAATTACTGGAGTAGTTCCAAAAGCATATCACAACAGGTTTAACTTAATTGTACAAGTCTGTCCTGTTCTGCTTGTGTCACTAGTACAATGTTAGTAGTATAGTATAGGATATTCTTGGCTACACTGACCTGGGGTACTGAATAGCCATGACAAAAGGTAGCTGTAAGAATGACATTGCTCTGGGCATTGCTAATGTTCCTTCTCCTTCCTCAAATGTCGATTCCTTCAGCAGCCACTTGGACAGTGTAATTCAATTCTGTATCCCTGATTTCAGGAGACAAGGTCTGATTCTCCCTTCAGGCTGGCTATATACAGACATCACTGCGCTGCATTGTAGTCTGTTCAGACTGCGTGCATCAGATCATAATCAAGCTCAGAATCTTACAGTGTGGATGACTAGAGTTCACATTAAAATGCTTTTATTACTGCTTTTTTATGCTTTAATCCCTAAGCTCTCCCTCAGTTGAGTAGTTATTTGAAAACTGCTAAGAACAATAATCATATTTTTTACAATTTTTGTGTGTGAATATAATTAAAAGGAGTATTGCTGTCAAGGAAACCACAAACTCAGATAGTTAAAGACTACTGTTTTGATTAGTTGGTAAATGTTAAAAACCCCCACACTATCACACATAACATTTACATTAAAATACAGACATTTATATGGTAATTACCAGATGTAAGAATCAGATTAAGAATCATTACACATAGCATTATAAAAAACCTGTGCTGCAACGTTTCTACTATTAATAACTTACATGCAAATGAGTGTTTTATTAATTACTATGATTTATTGTAGTTTTCAGGGACAAAAATGAAAGCTGAAGAAGCTTCAGTTGGGCACCTTGATCTCCTTCTATCTATTATTAACACAAACACGATCAGTGACAGGCTTTGCTAACAAAGGTTCTACAGGACAGTGAGATACCAGCAGAATGGTATTTACCTGCAGTTTCCTTTTTCCTGAGATTAGAAGTATGTTAAAGGCGAGTTTACCTTTGCACAGAGGGCCATAATAAAACACCTTAATTCCATAAAAGAAGACTCGAGAGGTATTTAAGTATTATTTTGGCATCTGACCTTTGATAATTTCAACTGCAGATCCTCCTCTCCCTAGCTACTTGTATTTTGCAAAGGGAAATAGTGAGTCCATGGGAAATCCTGAACGAGGAGGAAACTCCCTGATGCCCACTAGATGGCATGCACTTGTTAATTATACATGCTGAATTGTAAGATTTTAATGCAAAAGATTTTGATCATTATTATATAAATAGAGTTTTAAGTATAACCTGATCAAATTTATTATTTCTTTTACTCTATTAGTATAATATGATTTTAGTGTCAAATATTCTTAGTCTCCTGCTTCTTAATGTGGAACTTTTTACTCCCCTTACGCCAGCTGACTACCAGCAGCTCCAACTGCTCTAGCAAAACAGATGATATCTGTCTCTGAGTAAGAAATCTGAAATAATTTTGTCTACATCTTTATACACACACGCATATATTGGAGCAGTGCATTACACATTGTTAATTACACAGTAATTAACAAATACTATATCTCCTTAGAGAAGTTCCTTACAGAACTTAATTTTTAATACGCAAAATAGAAAGTGGTTACTAAACAAACACTCCCTGTTATACTATTTAAGCCTGATGTGCTGCTTTCGTGGATGTATTTTTTGCTGCGATGTCAGCACGCTCTTTTCAGTGCTCTGATCTCTGTCCAACATCTCCACCTTCTAGCGTTCCATTTGCCCAGCCATCTTCCAGTTCTGAGATTTAAGTATTGGCTCGAATTGGAGAGGATTATGTGGTAGATATAAAGGTTCTAATCTTATGCTTAATCCTGTTAGAATATCACATGATGGAGTTTCTGCTTGTAAATAGGATTATTTTCCTAGACAGGAAATTTACATACATAGAAGCATTAAAATGCCAATATTGGGGTTTCAAAATCAACCTTCTATTAAAGTTAAAATATGTCAGATATTTTTAGTGTGATAAACAGAACTTAAATTTGGCTCTACTATGCTCTTGTCATGTGAGACAATATATGATTATGTATGTGAATATTACATTCTCGCAGGAACCCTACCTCAGTTAAGGTACAGAGAGTGGACCTGTTAGAAAGATGAATCAGGATTAGGCAACAGATAAGGCTCCTTTCTGTGGGACTCCTGTCTCAGTTATGGAATTTGTGAATGTGTCATAAAATGCAGAAAGAGCAAGAATTTCTTCAAGGGTAAATCAGTTAAATGCTGCAGGTCTCCCTGCTTATGCAAAGGAGTTCTCCTGTGCTACGTCACAGCAAACAGACTGAATAATTGGTGACTACGTGTATATTCCTTTTCCTTCATTTCTTTTTGCCTGATACTCTGCTAATTTACTGGAATGGTGATCACTTACAGCTGCAAGAATGTATTATACTGTTGTATATTTACATACTCTGAAGAAAACAGGTCTTTTTTGTTATGAAATGGAGATCTCAATTGTGTGGAAACTTCTGATTTCAATGTTTTGCAGATTTGTTTCTGGGCTGCAAAACATGACAATAAATCCATCTTCATCTCCCAGAAGTGTCACAGAAACTATTATTAGGGAAGTATTTAGATACACTAGCATTAAGAACTGTTGAAAAGTCTCCAGGGAAATCATTCTAGATCTACAGAGAAATATGAATAGTGCAGAAAAACCATACTTATATTTTTAAGTTTGGTTTGTTTTGTAGGGCCCAAAACTAGAGGCAGTAAACTCGATGTGGTGTGATGAGTACCAGGTGAAAGGGAATAATCACTTCCTTCATCTACTGGCTGTACTCCAGTTAACACAGCCCAGGAAGCTCTGAGCCTTCTTTCCTGTGCAGGCCTGCTGGTGCCTCCAGTGTGGTTTGCTGTCTACCAAGACCTTCAAGTCCATTTCAGATGAAGTAATAAAAATTACTGAAACTGTAGCAACCTTTAAGATATAACTTCATGCCTAGCTATACTCTATCAATAATATTTTATACAGAATTCTGACTGCATTTTCAATATGAAATGACAACAGTGTGGCATATGCTCTCATAAACTTAAAACCTAAATTTACATTAATTATGCAATTAAAATTTCCACTAGGTGGGGATTTTTGAAATTTCAGGCAAAGCACTAGTTAACAGTGATTAATTATATATGTAGTTCCATTAATCTTTAGTCTTGTGGATCAAGTTCATCATGGGGCATTATAATTATCAGTATCTTTGAAAATAACATGTTATTCATGTCACGCCACACTACACAAAAATATAAATAACTAAGATTTTTAATATGGTATGATCAGTTTTAATCCTGAAGATGCAGGTGTTGCCTAAAAGCAATGGAAAGTTTTTCAGTTGCAATGCAGGAAATCTCCTCTCTCAGGGACAAGGTCATGCTACATCCAAATATAGCCTGGAGAGCTAACCCAGTCTGAGATAATGCCACGATTCATATAATAATCAGGGTACCTTCGTTAAATGCATTAGTGAGGCCAATCATCAAACCATCCAGCACAATGCATTCAATTAATATATATTCTTGTGAAAGCTTTCTTAAGGCTATTTCATGTGATGTATACCATGGACATCAGTAACAGTCATTCTGTAAACCAGCATTCTCCACCCAATAAAAGAGTGGAAAAGACAAATCTAGTCATTGTTCTAATAAGACTTCAAGGCTTTTGTTCAATAAGGTTTGAGCAGTTCACATTGATGGCTCTCAAAGTAACAGAAATTTGAGGAGAAATCCAAGCTGAGTACCAAAATGCTCTTAGTTTTGCTTTTGAGAGAACTGAAAGAAAAGTGACACTGTGATTCTCTCTGGACTTCTTTATGGACTGAAATACTAAGCATAATTTTCAGGCAATTTTAATTTAAAAACAAATCAACCTACCAAAAAGGAAAGAAAGGAAAGAACCAGGTTTCTTTCCCCTGCCCTTATTAACTGCCAAGGTAATTGCTTTACTGACTTTTGCATTAATGTTAAAATGGACTCAACCATATAGAAGTGAATAAGAACACAACCAGATTTATATTTTCAGGTTTCAAGCTTGCAATGAATTTTAAGTTACATTCCAGCACCTACCAAAAAGCTCCTATTAAATGAAAAAAATATCCTAAAGTGGAAAGAAGCGAGAATGGATCCTATAAAATCTGTCTAGCCCTCTCAAAAAGAGGTAAGAAAATCCTAACTAAAATGTTTTTCTCTAGTCTAGCAGAGAGAATAATGAAGAGCGAGTTCAAACTTTTCCAGAATATGCTGGGTCAACAATGGGTCACCTTCACCTTCATTTTAGTTGTAAAAGGAATATAGAAGCAGCAAACCACAGAAAGTTGTCCTGAGGCTCACGGGAACCATTAGCTTTTCAGCGGAATCAGGCACTGGCAATCATGCTCAGCCCTGCCCTCGGTTAGACAATGTGAAGGAGGACAGGGAAGCACTTTGGAAGCGCACTGAAGGAGGCTGTGGAGTACAGCTGGCTGCAGCACAGGCTGGGCCCTCCGGTCACCGCTGCTGGATGTACTGAAACATAAGCACGCCCAACACTGGGTTTATTTTCTCTGCAGTTTTCAGAGAAGCAGGTAAAATAACAGCAAACAAAGTGTAGTTTTTATGCTGGGGGAACTAGATAAATGAGAGCCCGTGAAGGAAGAAATCAAAGGGAAATTCAGCTCAGTGAACAAAGGGAATACTATTAACGCCTTCATTATAGTTTTACCCCTGGACCTACCTCTTTCTGGAAGGATTCAAAGCCTGAAGGTACTGAGTCTCCAGTAGTGTGCTAAGTTTTCGTTAATCGGACTTTTTCCTGTGCATATACCCTACAGAAACTGTTCTCCAAGAAGCGTTCTGAGGAGATGTGTTCTACTGCTTAGAGGAAAGCTCTGGAAGCTATTTCTAGCTGTGCGCAATGACCTTCCGTTTGATCTTGGTTAATTCACCAAAATTTGTTAAGTGTTTGATATTCTAACAAAAGAGTATTATTTTTGCTGCATTTTTGTTCAATATCATTATTAATATCTACTTATTCCTCAGAGGGATTTACAGTGCTCAGTTCATGTTTAATTTCTATAGGGTTACCCTAAGCTGAAAGGAGTAATAGAAGAATAAACTGCACCGTCTTCTAATTCTCAGACAGAGAGCAATAATACCTCCAGACAAGAGCAAGCGATTGAAGAGGTTTGATTTTCTGATGAGAAGTCTGTATTGTAATTCATATCTTCAGTATTTTTATTGTACACATGTTCATAGTTGTAAGACTTGTATTCCTCAGACCAAAACTGCGTCTAGTCGTTGGAAAAGCCCAACAAAAATTCAGGTTGCTTGGTTGTAAGTAGGAAAGCTTTAGTAAGACAGTATCTTTAATATTATTTGATGTAGCTCCTCATGGCAACAAGTTTTAAAAACCCAGATGCAGCCAGCATACAGAAGACACACGCAAATAAATCAGGAGGTACCGGTGAAGTGCGAGTCTCAAAGCATTGGAATTGTTCTGTGAAACCTGCTGTTTGACAGCTCTGTGTTCCAATCCCAGCACTGCTGGCAAACAATTTCCAGTGAGTGTCTGTTATCAAATATGCCTGGAGCGTGGCAGGCAAAGCTCAGCATACGCTCTTTACTGGGAGCACAATGCTGTAGCAGCAATGTGCACATAAGCAATAACACAATGTTCATTTTGCATATGGAACCTAAATATTTTAGCAGTTGAGAAGAACACAATATTGAGTACGTAAGTTTCCTCCATAAAGGAGAAAATGGAGATTATATTAACCATCCTTAGCTATGTTTTTTAATGGTATTTCCTATGAGAATTGTTTCTTGCACACTTGATTCTTAACAAGATTACCATACTGAACCTAAGGAAGTTTTACCTCTTGGCTAATGTGTTAATTGTTGTTGGCTTTACTTATTTAACTGTTGTAACTAAGCTATGTGGAAAGCTGACCAAAGAGTTATCCAGTTCTTTGTAAGATAGTTTATGGAATTGACATTAAGTTGTATCTTTTATAATAAAGAGAAACACTAAACCTTAAGTGAATCTACTTGTGTATTATTTACAGATTTCAAGGTTTCCTGTGTAACTTCCTTCTCTGGACTTTGCAATTTTTCAGTACTGTATATAACATATTTCCGAGAGCAATCCTTTAATTTATAAACAGAATTAATCCATTACTTACTGTTTTCGTCTGCATTCAATTGCTCTATCTATCCTGAACTCGGGTAAACTAATGAATCCTTCTGCTTTTTCATCCTATCAAAAGAGAAGAAAAAGTGATGGTGAAGAAGAACAGAGAGAAATGAGCAGTAGCCGTTTGGGTCTTATATTAAAAACAACCATCCAATCAATTGAAATACTGAACATATTTTCCCCATATGTTTTTGCTTAAAAATCTATTTTTACTTCACCATACAATGTCAGTAACTTTTGTGAAGTAACTAAACTGACAGTTCCTTAAAGAAGCCGGAATCATCCTAATTCCCCTTTGCTGAAGATTACAGAAAACCTTTCAGCACCAAACACAGCACCTAAAATAGCATTTGAGACATTAACAGCTACAGAGAAGTATTCTCAGTTTCTTCATCATATGGTCTATATTTTAAAACTTAAAAAAAAAAAAAAAATTTTTTTTAAACCTCCTTTTAAAATCATGATTGTGCAGACCATGTGCCCTGTTAATAGTGATTGAGGAGGTTCCTACAGCGAGCTCACCAGTGATTAAATGGAAAAGTAGTAACTAGAAAGTCTCTCTTGTCACTTCCTGCTTCTTTTGAAGTAATTTACCAGGAAAAGCAAGGAGACATACTAACACCAGTCAGATTTTTATTTTAACACTAGTATTAACAACTGTACTATGAATTATGGCTCGGCTGTAAACAACAGACTGAAAATCAGTGGGACACATAATGATTACCACCTTGCACGTAACAATGTCAAACAAACAAAATGTGCAACACAAAACCTGAAGGTCTTTATCATCCACAGCCTGAAACAATACTGGTTTGAGCTGACAAGAAAATATGAAAGCTGAGGACAATTATGCTATTAATTGTCCTCTTGAAGAAAATGGAAAATATGGACTAAAATATCAGTAATGAAAGCAGGCTGTACACGCAGACAGTTTAGATCAGGCCCCGAGGCTCAGTGCGTAGAAATGGAAGAACAGCAGCCTAACAATTTTTGGCTTCTCCTTTCCATTATTTTCCCTACATATATGCAGATTGCTCAAGTGTAGACCCATTGGTTTTCAGTAAAATTTCACCAGAAACTGCAAACTCCAGACTAATTCAGCAAAAAGCAAAAGGAACATTTATATCAGAATAACTTTCAGAAAAAGAGATCTACAAATTCAGATTTTCCCATCTGCTTCACATAATGCTTAACCAACATGAACAGTGATAATGTATACATCTCCCCACACAACTAAAACTGAGGAGAGCTGAGTGTGAGCAGTGTGTTAGTCCAAATAAATACTGTCCTTGGAAAAGCACTAACTGCTGATGTATTCATTTCTTTAAGAGTGCCATGAACATCTGCTATTTTATTAAACTTGGACATGGACTTTGGAGAATTTAAAAAATAATTACAATTGAAATATTTCCAGCTAGAGACCTCCAGATGTGGCAGTTGAAGTGGCAGTTCACTAACATATCCTACCATGTCGTAAAACCAGACTTTATTCAGAAGAATTATGAAGCTTAAGGTTTAATTTTGGCTTTCTCCAAACACAGAGTTCACTTACATTCTGGTTTGTATACCAGTACAAGGATGAATCCTTCAGAATAAACCAGTACTTTTTCCATTTCTGTGTGAAATAACCTTTGGCATCCTTTTTCTTCCATAGCCAGCCTTCACAATCTCCGTGCCCCAAATCTTTGCAGGAAATCCGTCTTCTGCTCCCACTTGTTAGAGAGCTCCCTGAGAATGTGACAAGTGTGAGACATCTCACTGAATGGAAGAGTGAAGGAACTATTCTTCTCAATATAAACACACTACTAATTTTTAATGATGATTCAATTCAAAATCCTTCAAGCCAAATCCTCTCCAGTTTCAGGGAGAAAAGACTGAATGATCAGTTTCCAAATTCCACAATGCTCGGCAATTTTGGTTTCAGCATGAATACAAAATAAGAAGAGTCTGCTTTACGTAATGGTTTATTTAATCTCTAGAGGGTTCATTCCTCTTAAGACTGCATTTTTATCTGATTAAGATCGGCATTTCAGTCCTCAATCCAAAACTCAGAGCATGACATCATCTGTATACAGATGTAAACACTACTCCTTCCGTGTATCTTCTGTTACTTTCAGAAACAGAAGGCCTGTCAAATCCTAGGAAGTTTTTAAACTCAATTTTTTATAGCTAATATCGTCAATAAAAAAGAAGGATCATCCACTTCCATAAAAATGCACATGCTTACATTTCTTCTATCCTGAATTTAACCGAACAACAATATTTTAACTTTACTGCGTCCTGTTTAAAGGCACAGCACCAGGAAAAGATGTTTTTGTTGTTATTTCAATAAATCCTAACTGAAAGGCTTAAAATTTTAGTGTGCCTTGTAAATATCAATAATAACAGCTCTTTTCTTAATTAGGGTATCATTTTTCCTGAAAAAGATTCTGTAGGAAGTGTCCTTAAAATATAAACATTCTTCTGTGAAAAATCCAGTTTATATTGCTACAAGAATTATATTTGTCAAACAGAAGAAATTTAGGTAACATCAGAATACCAGCCTTTATTCTGCAACATTCCACAACCAAATTCTTAATATTTTGCTCATTTTAGAATAACATACTGTGCGCTGTGTCCTAATCAGGTTTAGAAGTATTAAAAATATATAGTACAATAAAAGGAAAATTTTCATAGAAAGGAGATGAAATCAACAAATAGAATAAAAAGAGCTCACTGGCCATAACTTTCATACAAACTTATAATGCTGTAACTATTTTTCATATGTTAATTGTTTTAACAGTCTCAAATAGGCTCTGAATAGATAAAGAAACAAAGAAGGAAATGGCAAAATTTACAGATATTACCTTTCTTCTGCCTAAGTCGGAGGAAATTTTTCCATCAAGTCTAGCAATATTATACCTTATAACATGTTTATTTGGTATTTTACTTTGGTGTTTGCTATCAAATTTAGAATTATTTGAATTTGGTTGAACTTTGCCATTTGATCCAGACCACTTATTGTCAGAGAAGTTGTCTCATTTTCTAGTTTCAAAATGTTAACTCAAATAAGTTACCTTTTGACCATTTTCTGCTTTTTACCCTGAGGGAAGCGTAATGGAATGACTGTAAGGAAAAAAAAAAATGAAAATCAATGTGGGTAAGAGCAGTAACATGGAACAGCTGGCATTCACTGCCATCTCCATGGTCATCTTAGGGTTAGCTACTGTAGGATCAATAATCATCTAATTTTTGGCATTTTTCTCTTACTACTATTAATATACATCACAAAGAAAACAACACAGTGCTAAATCTGAAAATTAAAATCCCATTTTTTTCATTTATTAATTACAGTTGCAATCAAATCATTAAGGATTCTTGGCATGAATGGTTATGCAGCAGTTTGAAAACTAAGGCTATATATATACACTCATATGAATGACCTAATAAAATGAATACTTGAAGTCTGTCGTGAATATACATGAGATAGTTATACAGATATTCATTCAAAAAGAAATATCCACCATAAACACCATGTAGTTACTGTGTAAAGTCATGTGTCCAATGACATGTTGAAGTCATGTTCTTTAATTGTTTCCAACCATAGGAAACAATTAAGTTTGTTAGCTGGGTAGGCTGACAGAATAACTCTGAGGAGGAAAAAAATAATTTATTCCTTTTGTGACTGCATTAGAAAATCGTTACAGATTCTTAAGAAAAACTGAAAAGCATGTAGTTATTTAAACCCTTTAAAAACAAGGATACCACTCAAAATATGGTAAGGATTTATCTCAAACAGGTAAATGCTAGGGGAAAAATTACAGGTCAACATGACAAAGTAGCTACCTGCTTGGTAACTGGTGCTGCCATTACCAGGAGAAAAACCAGTGGATATCCACAGCGTGATAAACCAGCAGAGCCAGGCAAAGGCTGGCACATGAGGAGCCACCTTTTCAATTTTCTGTATTTTTCCTTTGTGATCGATAACACTCAGCTCAGCAGAGGGCCTAGAAGGGCACCTCAGTCACTGCTGGGGATATATATCTCCATGCCACCTTACTAGTGGTGTGACTACAGGTAATTACCTTCTCCCAGAGATTCCCTGGCTGCTCACCTACCTGCTCACCTACCCTACCTTATGGCAGCTCCTCACCATGTGCTGAAAAAGCAAACACGTGCTACAAAAGTCCCTATTAACAACTGTAGTACAACATAATTAAGTGTTTAAATATCCCAAATGTTAATTTTAAAATAACTGAGGATTATGATTATAATTAAAATAATATTTAAATGAATATTTAGGCTAATGAAGGATTACAGTTTATGCACTATAGAAAAGCAACAGCTGAAAACAGGACTGCAGCTATTGGAGAGGCAAAGTTTTATTTGGAATGAAAGTGGAGGAGGGAATTGTTTTGCACATGTATAGGCCTATTTGTAACTCTTCTGCAGTTCAGCCACTTTACAGCGTTGAGCAGCGTGGACACTTTCTAGTGACTTGCAGAAATCAGTAATTCCTGATTGCTGAGTGTGCTGGCTCAGAGAACACCATCTTTCCATGTTCTGATTATCTCCCTGCATATGAATGCTTCACAAAAACATTGTAAATCTGACAGGTGGCAAGCTCTGTAAGTGTATATGCATTGTACCACCCCGAGACAGAATGTATTCTCCTTGAGAGCTGCAAATTTACCTCTTTGTTTTGAGCACTAGAGAAGACAAAGATTAATGCTTGCTTCTGTGCTATAGGAAATGTACTAAAAAAACAGTCAGAAAATGAAAAAAAACCAGAAGTAAGTTTGTGAGAAAGCATTAAAGGTGCACACTGTCTGTTTTTAATTGATGTATTGTAAGTCACAGCAGCAGTACTGGTCAGTCATATTGTGCCAACTAAAGTTTTGTGGTGACTTTAATAATCTGGTCAATGTCCTTCTTTCTGTATAAAAATGCATTAGGACAGAGCAGGTGTCTGTTTCTGAAAAAGAGATCAGCAAATTTGTCCATAATTTAGGCTAAAAAATAGAGAAATGAAATAAAATCCTACAATTAAATTACAGTTTTCATAGGGGATTACATTTAAAGAACTGCAAGAAAAATGGAAAAACTGGAGGATATATGCATTAGGATACTCACCAGAAACTGGTATGCATCATTCAATATAAAAGTTTTAAAAATAATGAAAATAAAAGCACAACAAATCAAGAAGAGTTGCAAATATGACCTCTTCTAAAACCAAAAGTTAATTAGTCTTACTATGTTTTGTTTATGCATACATACAATGTATTCAAAGCAAGAAAACTAGAGAAAGTGAAAGGTTTGCAATACCTTGGGAATTGGTACTTAATTAACACTACTAACTAACAAAACTCAAGCTTCATATTCTGAGTGATAAAGGAACTACTCTGTAATTAACTTTGTGGTAAACACTAAGAAAACAGAACTTGCAACTTCAAAATGGCTCAGTGTTGCTATGGGAAACAGAGAGATGATGTGAGAACATACTGTGGTTGTCAGCATTTAAGTTCTCATCTCAAAACCACAACACAAAGTAGAATGTTAAATAAAACGCCTGCCCTCCCACCCCACCCCAACAAGCAGCGCACCATGGAAAGAAAAAAGGTCTAGAATTGAATCTGTGCTACATGAAGTTAAATTAATGAGAGATCAACATAATCCCAGTGTAGCAGGAGGAGTGCTGTCACAGAAACACCAAAGGAAAAGTTATGCTTTGTTAAAGTCTGCCTTGGTGACTAGAGATTCAGTTACCTGTCAGGATGAAGGGAGCCAAGCTCATTAATGCAAACCTGTTTGCAGGTGTATCTGTTATTTTGAGCCTTGGGAGTTTTTAAGGAAAACCATTAAGAAGTTCCAGACACAGACACTGGTGCGTTCACTGGCAAAGTACACAAAGCACAGGGCATGGAGTGCTGATTCCTCCCATCGTGTGTGTTAGATTACGTGCAGTACCACAATCCCAGGAACAGTCACAGGTCCAAGGGTTTTCCAGGGGAGGCAGCAGGCAGGGTAGGGATTAGCTGCTGGAGGCAGCATGTCAAGAGGCACAACTGCAGGTTTTAAACAAACTGCAAAAAATTTAGTCCTACTTATTCCACTATTGTCACTGGTCTTTAGCCTCGCTTTGTAAGTAACTGGGAGGCAGAACGACATCTGGCAACTTTCAAAAGTTATTTAGCACCCGCTTAGTGAAAAAAGTCAGAATGAAGAAATAGTCATTCTGTAAATGAGGGTTCTCTTGATTGTCTTTTGTCAAAATAATAAATAATAAAAAATAATGTCTAGATATTTTCCGCTGAAGGATTTTCAAAATGGGTACCACAAATACTTTGAAAATCTTAATCCCATATCTCCCTGCCATAGTTTTCATACTATTTCAAGAAGTTTTAAAATCTTCTTTTCCTTCAGGGCAGCCTTCCCTCCAGAGGTTCCTTCCAACCATGACATCTTCGATGATTCTCTTCCCACAAACAGTACATACATTAGAACACATACTAAGGTTCCTACTGAACTTAACTAGAAGTACTGCATCAACCTGCTGTGGCTGCAGTAGCCAATCTTCTGCATATGGAAAGTATTTCTAGCTTTGTATTTCCAGATATTTCATAATATAGACAAATTTCAAAGTTTGTGATATCTTAAGTATCTTTTAAAATATGATGATTAATTGAACTGTTAGGGGATTTGGGGGTTTTAAAAGTACATTTATGAATCATTACCTTCCTCATGGATGTGCTTCCTTGACGGTCAATGGCAGAACTTGCATATCTAGGAGAGACAGGAAGAAAGATCTCAAATAACTATAGGAAAAAAAAAATAATCTAAGTAATGTTGACACACACATTCTATGCACTTCCAAATGTATGCTTCCAGATGAAATCACACTGCAAATTTATTTCAAATACAGCACTTAAAACAGGGCACCCTTTGGAAATTTAACCATTGTTTTCAATGTACAGAGTTAATGTTACTAAGAAACGTAAGGAGTGTTCTGAAAAGAGTAAATAGGGAATAAACATGCGACGTCTCCTTGAATAAAGGGGCTATATAAGTTACATAAAATAAGCAGTTAGCTTCTTTTGTTTTGAATCTTCATTCATTAACAAACACAATACAACTTTTTAGAATTCACAGCAGCAAAGATTTCTGTAATATTGTGCTACAGGATGCCATGGATACTAAAAATTTACACAGACATTAAAATGAAAAAATACTATTTACGGTGTATCTGAGCTTTCTCCTGGAGTTCTCTAAAGGCTAGAGAACAAAGCAGGGAAGCATCACCAGAGGCCTTTTATTATACAAATACAAACTGTATTGGCCACTGATGGAAACAAGATACTGAACCAGGTTCAACTTTGATCTAGCAGAGAAATTCTTGGACACATAATTTCCCCTCATGTTTTCAAAAGTAAGAAAAATGACAAGTGGGAAAACCTTCAAAATGTAAATGTGTTTGCACATGTATAAATAGGAGTACAAGACTGGGAAAGGAATTGTGGGGAAAATGTAAAGAGGAATGAAGGGATTGTGGACATTTTAACATATTCCCAAATTCTGTTGGTCATAATAATAACATCTGTCTTAAGTCAGAAAGACAGAAAGTGGCATTTTCTCCTTTGATGATTTCCATTGTTACAAGAAATCTAATTTACCAGTAGAAACAACTACTCCATTGTCAGTTAAAAGCACCTATCAGTCCTAAGTCAAAGGAGATTTCCAGACTGCAGTGAAAAGTTGGGATGCACAACATTAAAATGAAAACCATAAAAGTTAATAGACAAGACTTAGAAGTTCTGAGCTGTCTGTAGATTACAAAGATGGAAAGAAACAACTGAAAACCAAAAAAGTTCAGCTTACAACATTTGGTAAAGGAATGGACAGATGCCCAAACCGCTGCAAGGCAGATTTTGTCATTAATGCTCCATTTCTGTCTGCCCATGAGAATGCCATAAACGTGCTTCAATCCTGCTGGGCATTTCCCCCCTGATTTCTGGTCTGTTTCTTTAATCACAGCTTTGACCCATCTGGAAAGTGTCAGCTTCAATGCTTCCATTCTTTCTCTCAGCCAATATACAATATGAATAATACATCTGTGTTTTTTATCTGAAAAGTCCTTAGTCAAGTTTTATTTGCTTCCATGCAAATGCAATAATGTGTCTCCCTACAGTAATCACAGACTCTACCAGCAAAATTGTTGCAAAGTTACGGAAGCAGCCTGCAAACAGGCTTTTGAAAGCTCTTCAAAAGTTGGCATCTTAGGAAAGGTCAGGAATAGGTGTTCTAATGTACAATGAGCTTAATTCTTTTACTTGGAAACAGTTTTCAACTGTTTGAAGGAACTTTTTTGTTTTGGTTTGGTTTAAGATTTCGTGTCTATGGAATACTCCTCCCCACATCTAATTATTACTCTACAGAGGAATATTCAGATCTACAGATCATAGCAGAAGAAATACTGATCTTCTCCTTAGACAAGTAAATTATCTGTGTGAAAGTGACAGAACCAATTAATTTAGAGGAACCCTACTATGTTATGGAGTCTGGTTGAAATACTCTGTATTATATTTGGTTGAGTTATTCCTCACCTTTCTTTTCAGGAAAACAGTTGTTACAAAAGTGAAAGGTAAAAGAATGAAGAGGGGAGGGGGAAAGGCATGTGCAGTGATACGATTATAATGGTCTGGACTGATATTTCTCAAGTCAATTAAAACAGCTGATCTTCTACTAAAAGCTTTTTTTCTTGTTCATATATAATACTGGTTTTGAAACAAACTGCAGAATCTAGAAAAAGGACGACATAATATGACATTAAAAGGACAAAATACTAAGCAAATAACTGCAAAATTTTAAATTAAATTTAATTTCATAATAAAGTTCATTCCAAAATACTATTTCTACCATACAATTTTCCTCAAATGGATTTCTGAGTTACTTGTATTTGACAAAAATGTAAAGGACTTCAGCAATGTCTGTTCTGTTTTGATATGCTCTGCCTAGCTGTGTGTCATATATTGAAATTTCTATGGAAAAAAAAGGTTGCCTCCCTCCTTATCTATTCAGAACTTTGACTAAATTATATGTTGTAAGCAAACTGAGTACAAATGGGGAAGAATTTAGGAAATACAGGTATTAAGAAGCAAGCACAGATCAAGGTTAAAGACTATCTCTGATCTCAGTACTAGGTGCATACTGACTCAGTATTCAATCAGAATGAGGCTGAACACAGAGCCAAAGCAGGAAGGTTAACAAGAATGAGCTAAAAAAAGATGGAAATGACTTTGACCTCGGTGGAAGCAAAACACTGAGAATTTAAAGAACTTGAGTAGGTGTAGTAACTTCCAACTGGCATCTTACAGGACATGTAAATGAAGTGCAAGTCAAGTGATAAGATTTGTAATCAGGTTTTCAAATGAGGAACAACATTGTATGATTAGAAAATAGCAATAACGAATCTCTACAAGATAAATTAGAATGGAGAGACCTAGAAGTATGAGGGACAGCAGAAGTAGTGTATTCCAGTTTAATGTATTTGATTAAAGCTGTAAGAATCAGACTGTAAAGATATACCTGGTAAAAGATTTCTACTGAATGCTGACAATTGTCACCTACCAAATACTGAATATGTGAAATCAGCAGTGTAGCTGCATACTCCTCTGTGCTTTTGCTACCAGAGCAGTTATAGCCATTTAAGAGCATCACCAGAATTCTGAGTATCCTGCACTGTCTGTTCATACAAACATTCCTCTTATAGTGAACACAAGTGACTTGCTGTGTTTTTGTGAAACAAGTATCACTAAGCCAGTGTAGCTGTGATTATCACCTCCATGATGACAATCATTCCTCTTTTCCTTTTGAGGAACATGTTTTCATTTTCTGCCATAGAAAGATAACAACACATCTTTAATTGTCCCATAAACTGTAGTAAGGAATCATGCTTTAGCCTGTAAATCTCTACTGAAAACCAGGACTGATTTAAACCAGCTACGTACAAATTAATCATCCCTTGATCACATAAGCAATGCTCAGAAAGAAGATAAAATAAAATGGCTCTTACACATTATCAGTGCTCTTAATTATAACATCCCAGTTCTCTTTCTGTTACCTTCAAGGTCATGAAATCCATCACTAAATGAAAGTTATAACTGTATCAGAACAAACTGATGTGTCTTATTAGCTTGCTATCATTTTGGCTTCTCCATAGGTGACAGGATACAGATAATAAATCCCAATGAATGAATACAGCCTAGAAACAAGAATAATTGCTTCGAGTGTTACTTACCTTTCACCTCATCTTTGGTATCTATAATAGTTATGATCTATATTGTTGACTTTTTTTAAGCTCCTTCTCTAGCAGAAGGATAGGATAGGAATGGATATAGGAATGGATAGGAATATAAAGAAGAGTAATATAAAGTGATTCTAGTTATAACTAACTGATAAAATATATTTATCATTGATTAAACAATAATTTTAGACACTAATAATTTCTTGGATTTGTATTTATTTATTTGACCAAACAGAGCAATTCAAGCTCATCTTTTGACTATTCCAATTTGCAATAATTTTTAAATCTATAAAAGTTTCCAGTAAGTAAAAGAAGACAGCTATTTGCCAGAATTTACTCCTGGAACAGAGATAACTGTGTATAAATTATTGGGTGGTGTATTTCATGTTCTGTCGTGGTGTAACATGCTCTATGTGGATGTATGTGGAATGTCCAAGTTGATGCACAGTCCATAAACACACTATTTGGAGATTTTATTCTTGCTAGTCCTCTGTAGGATGGCTCCTGTTTCATAAGGTTACATAAATTTAGGAGCTCAAGTACACAGCACAGATGATCAAGAGATAACATCAGAGTTGTTGGTTAAACATCAACAGCAAAGCCTGCGTTTGAAAATATACTGTTAGTCCCTGCTGCCAGCTGGATACTTAAAAGCACATGGTGACTTGCAACACAGAGATGACAGAACCACCCTATTGACCCACAGCAGCTATGAACAACTAGCAAATGGCACGGTGAACTTGGCAATAATGGGTTTACAGTTGGACTAGATGATTGTAATGATCTTTTCCAAGAAAACTATTCTCTGATTCTATCATCCTGCTCTTTTTCACTTGGCAAATACTTGGGAGATGGAAATTTCTAAGTGAAAGGGGCGTGCAAAGCTCTCTACAACCTTCATATCCCACATTCTGAATTCCTTCAGGTGCAATCTGGTTGCAGCTTAGGGTCAAGGCCAACATAATTAACTTGAGGAAAAAAAAAAATAAACCCCGGGATATTAGGAAATACATTTGTGCAGAGAAGTATTGTAGGTACAACGTGAAATTGCCTTATAGCTGGTTCAGAAGGACACGTATGTAGCAATTTGGGTTTATCTATCTGATCACAGGAATGCATTTATAACTGCCTTGCCAGCATTCATGATTCATATTTAGGTTATTAGAACCTCCAGAGCTTACGTAACATATTCCTGTCAGAACAAGTAAATTCTCACTGCAAATTAATTATTGAGTATTTTGTAGCGAGATTTGAAATCCCTTCTCAGTTCCATGCTGGCTCAGAACTATGCTACAGGCTATTACATGATACTTCAAGCATCAGCCAGCTAGTTCAGATGGACCTGTGCTGCTCTGCAGGCACCGCAATACAGGTGTATCTGTACAGATAAAGTTGACAGGACAATGTCAAGACTAAAAGTTATTTTTTAAATATTTATCTCTTCTTACCTCTCCAGCATTAACCACAACTAAAACAAAACCAAGAAAATTTCCAAGCATGCCACTGTGGACATGATTCAAACAATTTTTAAGCATTAATATTTACAAAGACAAAATGTGTTATGAAAAAGAACCTGAGCAGCATCTTCACATGGAAACTAAGTGCAAATAGTAATAAAAACTGTTTGTTCAACTAGTAGTTGTGCAATGCATGAATGACACAATTCTTTTCTGCTTTCTCTTTCCCAAGCTAAGCAGAGTAAGATCTTCAAACCCAAGGCCTCTGTAATGATGTCATGGTTACGTTATGCACGCATGTCTAGAATCTACAGATGTCAAAGTTTCCTATAACTAGAAAAGATTTCTCCCAAAGTAAAATGAAGGTCAAAGACCATAGTGAACTCTGCTAAGCATATAGTTAGATGTTTGTTTGTGAAAGAGCTGCAGCAGGGACTCCACGTTAGGTGCCCATTACCCCTTTCTCGTTTGTGAAACAATAACAAACAGGGTAAATTGCTTCTGGTGGAAAGAAAAACAAATCTGTCTCTTCTTCAGGAAGCATTTAATTTAGCTTGCCTTCCTAAAATTTAAGAACACTCACACATTTAGTGATTCCACCTCCAATTGCAGAGTGTAATATCCTAAATCATGACACCTGCTCAGAAGTGAAGAGTCACAATTTGCCTGTGGCTGCCCTACTTTTCTAGCCACAAGACTGCTTAGAAGCAGAGCTCAGATTTTCTGCACTGGTCAGTAAGGGACAGAGTTCAATGTGTGAGTGGACACTACAATGAGGGGAGTGGGTGTTCTGCATGGACGGTGAAAGTTTGGCCTTGTGTGTAGTTCAAGGGCAAATATATGATGTAGATGTGTCAAAAGAGTTTGGAAGAAATCAGACCTGTAATGCAGAAACACCTAGCTTTTATTCTGCTTAAGGCTTTTTTTTTTAAAAAAAAAAAAAAGCAAAGAAAAAAAAAAAGCTGCTCGACTTGCTTTACATCCTGCTCATTTGAAGAGTTTAAAAAGCTAGATATTCATAGTAACATCCTGTAGTCTCAAATCCTCACATAGCTGCTAGTGCTTTTGGTATATACTCCCTGCAGCAAGCGGTACATTCCACTATGTGCAAGAAGTGTCTTTCTTCTGGGCTTTGGCTTTTTTTTCCTTTACTTCTTTTTCTTTTTTTTTTTTTTTAAAGGATGCAGTCGTATCACAGAAACTGCATAGGTGACTGTACAGTTAATGAAGATAATGTTATTTCATCCAAATATGTGAATCTATCCACACAGTTTATCTTCAGCTTCCCAAAACCCAACTATATGCAATTAAAATCTTCTACCAGCGCTCATCTCAGATGATTGTAAGCTGAAATATTTTTATTTTGTATTAAGTTTATTAAACTACTTAAAAGGTTGTTAGGAGCAAGAAGAAACCATTCTACCTCTTTTAAAATATTTTTCAACGTACTGAAAACATATAATATGGTAATGATTTAGGTGTGAAATTTAAAATGTGTGGGAGAAGGATTAGGAAAGGGAGAGTCATTCTATAAATGAATATAAAAGAAGAGCCTTTTGCTATGAAAGTTTGCCAAAATTTCAACAAGTCATGTGTCCCCCAAAAATATCTCTGAGCAGATGTCCAGTAGAGACTTGTGTCCTGTCCACCAAGGATGGTCCATCTGGTTGGTAATGTCCCTGCCAAACTGAGCATGTGCAATCCACTCAAAATAATTCAGCGTGCTTTGCTCTATGAAGAACAAAATTCCTTTGCAACTCTTCCTTGTGGCTGCAAGAAACTGTGGGTGTGGAGAAGGAAGACAAAAAAGGAGTGAGAAGTATGACTTTTTTTGAGAGGGGTCTGTGATTTCTTTCTGTTGTAGAAAGTCAGGTAGGAAGGATCTGAGGGAGGGAGCAGTCATACTGGAATGAAGGAGGGCAAGAGAAGGGAGTGACAAAAAGTAAGGAGAAATAAGAGTGAGGGAAGAACAGGGCAGTAGCACCTGGTGTGAAAGAGTTGGGAAGCTAAGTGAAAACAGTGAATGTGTAAGATTTACAGAAAACTGTAAGTTTGGAAAACTCCAATATAAGAGGTAAGGGCAAAAGCTGAAATCCAATTGTTACTTAAAAAAGACTGAGAATGACACACTTTTCCCCCCGGGTAACCCCTGCCTTATACAAGACGGGTGCTGCTTTGTCTCTGAATTGGAATGAAATACTAAGCAGGACTATACTTAATTTATTTTAAAAATAAGAATCTACATTTAGCTGAGGTAATGCACTGCTACAATGGCAGCAATGGAGAGACAAGACTGTGTTTTAGAAGATGAAATAAAATTTTACCCTAAAAAAAAAGGCTTTTGAACTCCATCTTTACCTCACTTCCATGTATGATAGCAGTGCTACTCACTTCAGTGGAATGCCATTTTAAACATGCACAGCACTCTACAACTGAGGAAACAGCAGTAAATCCTCACCATTACAGCTGCCTGTGAAATGAACGATGTTTAATACACATATAAAGAGGTAAAAACACTGACAATCCTGAAAAACCCAGCACAAGGCGACTTGTATTTGGTGATCAACAACTAATGTTGTACCTCAGACTTCTGGCTGTAATGCAGTGGTATTTGTACCATCAATTGTAAATCCTTTAGGTTGGTGAAAGCACTCGAATGTAATTAATTATTCTATAGTCAGTGCATGGTTTAGCTTAGAATGAGTTGATGAAATCCAAATGCAAGGGACAAGCTGAAGTCCCCATTCTTACTATTTAACAAATATGAACCACAAATATAAACAGTAATTTTTGTACAGACGGAATTAGCATGTAGATATTCATTGAAAAATTCTGTTATTTCCAAAAGTCATGCTAGACATGTATTATCCTTTTCATCCTCAGAGTGATTCTGAAACACTAAATTTCAAAAGTTTTTTTAAAAAAAGGTATTTTTTCAACCCTTGTAGTCTGTATTTACATTGGATGTACTTAGCAAATGGAAGTTATGACATTTACTAAATGATACTAATGGTTTTCTCACTAAAACCTGAAAATTTATTCCTCAAATATTACAACCGAATTTCTAAAAGTAAACAAGTAAATATAATTCATAGATAGATGATGTATATATTTAAATACAGAATAACAGAAGTAATTACCTTTCAGTATCTCCACTGACTGTGTCTGCTGCTCTCTGTAGAAGAAATACAAATAGCATTAAGCACGACTAAAAACTGTACTTCCTTGGTGCACTCAACATAGCGGTATCTGCACCCAAAGAAGTCACAGCAGTAGACCACAGCAGTCATTCTGTAACTCTAAGGAAAAGGAAATGGAAAATTTATTTCAATTTCTAACTAAATGTCATTTCACAATGAAGATCATGTTTAAAGCAACTTGCATCTGCCCTTATAGTTTCAGCTGCTGTATAATTGTGATCAGAGCTCTTTAAAAGGAGAAAGGAGCTAAAAATGTGTTAGACTGTCAATGTTTGCAAAAATGTTAATATTTGAAAGGTAGTTTGTTAAGTGTAGAGGACAAATACTACAACAGTACAGGGAGTTGGACTAGATGATCTCCTGAGGTCCCTTCCAACCCCTACAATTCTATGATTCTGTGAATATAGAATACAGAATTTCAGAAGAATGAACTAGAGGATTTTAAGAGTAATGATGAACCTGTCATCAAAACTTTCTTTAATACCATTCTTCCATAGCTTTACACAACTTCATTTACTACACCAGTTATTCCTCTGAGGATTGGAAATGAGCATGTCCTTTAGTAGTAAGTGATTCAGGATTAAAAATAAGATCTTCAGAATGTTTTTGTTACTTGAAACCAAGATTTACGATGGAGAAGTTTTCCCACAGATAAAAACCAGTTCTTTACCTTGAAATTACAAAAATGTGTGTTTTAAAATTAATATGTATTTGCTTGTGAATGCAGAAATCTGCACTTGAAAAATAATTATATGTGTTCTGAATAATCAAATGGGAAACAGATTATTAATTGTAAGTATAATGTTGGTGTTTTCATCTCACTACCTTAGGCAGACAGTAAGACATTGAATCACACATGACTTCAGAGAACAGTTACAAGACTCAAGTGTATGGTGCACGTATAAAGGACAGGAAGTCTGCTGGGTCTGTTTAACCACATGGGCTATAAAACAGGTATATTCTAAGAGCACATGCATTTCTCAGAAAACTTCAAAATGTTCAGGGGACAAGCACGCCTTTTGCTACCTCCCTCCTTCACATATCCCCCATGTATCCACATACAGAATCATTTCTCTTTTACCGTGCCATTTCTACCAGAGATAACAGATGATTTGCCACTTGAAGCAGCCAAACCCCTTTGTGTTTGTGTTTTGAATAAAATGTTGCCACAATTAACCCACACTCAAGCCAGAGAATGTGTCCTTGCAAAACAGTCTACAATACAACAGAAACAACACACACTTACACGTTTTCACTTCTATAGGCTTTCCTGTCTCTTACCTGCCACTATAATTAGGATGCTATAAATTTTACAAGTTACACTTCATTTTTTCTTGTTGCTACATTAAATACTAGCCTTTTACTTGTTCTGGTAATTGATTCAGCTAAAATATTCTAGCAATTGTGAGTATCAGAGATGGTTACCATTCAAATAAGATAACTTAGCTGATGAAAAGTAATGAAATAGTGCCCTTACACTTAAAAACAGGGAGTTCTCCTACGTATCTTGTTGAAACCAGGCAAAGGTAGGAGCTCCCCATTGAGTAACTGAGTACAAAACTCTAACAGGCTTTCCTAAGTGTTATAAACAACTAAATCCTCCTTACAGTACACTGAAATCTAGTCTAAAGAACCTACAAAAATGAAAATACACCATCTAGAATTATTCATATTTTCTTGAAGCAGACTGCAAGAGATACAGCACACATTTACAGCAATATATCTGTTTGAAGAGCTTCAGGAAAATCCTGCATAATAAATGTCAGATTTCTGCTGCTGTTAATGCCCTACTAAATATGAATGAACCAATCTGATCATCCCTGAAAATACTGTGGAAATACCTAGTTGTATATATACAATATTATATATAATAATAAAATATTCTGTGGCCAACCAGGTAAAAGAACTTTGACACAGCAAAAGCACTGCCCATTCTGCTGTTATAAAAATAGAATTTATTCATCCTAGAAGGCTCAAAGATTTTCTTCTTGTATCGATCTGCCTTCTAGTGTTACTAATTTTAGCAACTAAAAGTGGGAAAAATAGTTTAGTCAGTTTAAGTGTTTCCAATTCTATTTCTTAATTAGTAGAGGCCTTTCTTTTCCAAAACTGCTCCCAAAGTAAAAGCAAAGTGTTTTCCCAATCAGGTTTATTCACTTGCTCTCCCAAATGGGACTCATCCCACGCTCCCTTCCCTGACAAAGTTAAATAACCCTCCTTGTTCACACTGTGCTGGCCATCTTCTTTTCATCACCCATATTACAAACTGTCAGTACTGCTGCAGAACTAGCCCAGTTACTTATTTCCTTAAAAAAAATAAAAATAAAAATAAATGCACAAAGACCACCTGTATCGCGGGTGATCACCTTGGCTCATGGTTCTGGGATTCCTTTTGATCAGATGTATTCCATTAGTACAACTGTAAGCAATTATTTGGGTATTGTGAACTAGGAAAAAGACATACTAGAAAGAAATATGCTTCTGTTAATAAAACATGTTTTTCTAGAGGTCTTTCTTTCAACACCACTAATTTTTTGCATTAATGAACACTAATTTTCAAAGGTATTGAATGATCTAATCTAATTAACTAGAGAATAGTCTGTAGTAGGGAAATTTTACAATGGCTCTATAATAGTGGGAAAAAGAAAAAGTATGAGTTAACCATTTAATTACTCATAGATTATGCAAATTGTAATTGATTACTAGTTCACTGCAATTTAGAAAGGAGCAAAGAATATCTGTATAAATATAGAGAGGGAGAAAATAGTTGATAAGAGTACTTAAAAGGCATTTGTTTTAAACATGTTTTCTATTGCTAGCATTGCAATTATATTTATGAACTTTTAATTTTTCATCAATACTTAATTTATTAGAAAAAAATCTCTGCTCCTGACAGACTCATTAATTACATACATATTATTAGCAGTATTTAAGTATGGACACTAGGGATTACTACAGATTTCCATACATATACATATGTATGACCTTTTATTTGACTGAATTTTTATCCCCAAGGAAGCTATAATTGCTAGCTTGAAATGCCAGCCTTATTAAAGGATTTCTGATAGCATATATGGAAAAAACCACACCCTGGCATTTCTCTACATGTGTACATATAGCTGTAATTAATTTCCTTGTGTTATTGTAATTACATGTGCAGATACAATACTGGCAGTGACACATATGTGGTAGACTTATATCTGCAATTTCAGCAACCTTATATATAATTTTTTTGGAACAGTTTCTTCTTAACAGTGTTATGTTCCTGGTATTTGGAAAACAAATTGCCTTATACTCTTT